CTTTTTTCATGGGAGTCTCGGCTCGGCGGCTCTCTCAGCCCCTAGGCCTTGCATATTTCCTCTAGGAGTCCTGGATAGCTGCCCTGCCACCCGGAAGGAGGCAGCTGGTCGCAGCCGGCGGGGCTGGAGCCCTGCTTCTCCGGAGCTGCTGGTTACTCCCCAGGCAGCTGGGCTTTTGCTGATGCCCTGCCTTGAGCTTCTCCCTTCATCCCCTCTCTCGAGGTAGTTTACCTCTGCCGTGGAGGACCAGACTTGTATTACAGAAGAGGGGTCCCGGAGCTGGAAGGGTAATGGCATTGCGGGTGATTTGCCACTCCCTGTGCCAGGACCTCCCTCCCTGAGCTGACGGTGCCTGGACTTTGGTCCTGGTTCTTATCTCCCTTGTCTTTCTCTTATTGCAGTCAATTCTGTGCGTGTTTTTATCTTCTTTGCTTTTGAGAGCTTTGAGGACAGGGTCCATCGTGTGTGTGTGTGTGTGTGTGTGTGTGTGTGTGTGTGTGTGCGCGCGCGCGCACGCATCGCCCGTGTGTGTGTGTGTGTGTGTGTGTGTGTGTGTGTGCTGTTCCTGGGACTTGAGCTCCTGGCTTGGGTGCAGTCTCTGAGCTTTTTTTTGTTCAAGATTAGTGCTCTACCACTTGAGCTGCTTTTGGTTTTTTTGGTAGTTGATTGGAGATAGAGAGTCATGGATTTTTCTGCCCAGGTTCACTTTGAACCTTGATCCTCAGATCTCAGCCTCCTGAGTAGCTAGGATTACAGGAGTGGCCACTGCACCTGGCCCAGGCCTACATCTTACCTTCAGTTCTTCTTCCCACTCCACATAGCCTCTGACATCAGCATACCTGAGAACAGTTCCTACTACAGTCATATTCTTTTGCTGAAGATGCTCTGAACCTCACACCTTACCTTTTATGTGCTGACACAGTGTAGGCATGTGACTTTAGCCATGACTCGAGATGGAGTTTCATGCCCTTGAACCACCATTTTCCATCTCTGCCTCCAAAGTAGTTAAGATTACAGGTTTGAGGGGCTGGGAAGGTGGCTCACTGGTAGAGCGCTTGCCTTGCATGCATGAGGCCCTGGGTTTGATGCCTCAGCACCACATAAGCAAAAAGAAAAAAGCCGGAAGTAGCGCTGTGGCTCAAGTGGTAGAGCGCTAGCCTGGAGCTGAAGAACTGAGGGACAGCGCCCAGGCCCAGAGTTCAGGCCCCACGACTGGACCCCCCCCCAAAAAAAAAGTTACTTATGCTAGTGGTTCACGCCTGTCATCCTAGCTACTCAGGAGGCTGAGATCTAAGGATTGTGGTTCAAAGCCAGCCTGGGCAGGAAATCCATGAGACTCTCATCTCCAGTGAACCACCAGAAAAGTGAAGTGGCACTGTGGCTCAAATGGTAGAGTGATCACGAAGAGCTCAGGGACAGTGCCCAGGCTGAGTTCAAGCCCTACGACCAGGAAAAAAAAAAGTCACTTATGTTACACTCCCAGTGCATCCCAGGCCATCGCAGTGCAGGCTCCCTTGGTATTTGTAACACTGAGGTGATCAGACTTTCCATGGAGCAGCTGCTCCATTTCCGTTGGACAGATGAGAACTGTGGTTGAGGTGCCCAGGATCCAAAGGGTGGCACGTCAAGGCGCTGTCCAGGGCCTGGGCCTGGTCCCCAGGGACCCAGTCCCCCCTCCCCTCCATACAATTACCATTCGTGCGTTACCGTATTCACTCACAACCCGGAGCAAAGCAAATCTACTCCATGTAACATGAACTACCAGACAGGCCACCAGCATTCCCCGGGGGCATACATGTCTCAGATCAGTTCTGAAGACTCATGCAGCCTTCCTCGTATGCGCGTGCAACAACGCACTTAATTCTCGGAGTCGAAGGTCGTGAAGACTTCATACGTGACGCCGGGGCCTGGCGACGGGCTGCTTTCCCCTGGGGTCCCCCCCGCAGTCTGCAGGCACGCTCCACTGCACCTGAACCGGAAACAAGCATGTCATCAAGTCGGGATCGCCGGTGCGTCGGACAAACTGCAGCCCAGAGCGCTCATGCCGCCACTCCCCCGTCTGCCGCACGGTGTCCTCCGCGCCCAGCGGCGCCCCAGGCCGGACCCCTCCGCGCTCGGGCTGGGTTTCCGGGGGGACGGGGACGCTCGGATGACGTCGATGAGAGGCGTCCGGATGCGCTTCCGGGGGCGCTCTATCAGCGGGGCACCACCCGGAAGCCCCCTTGTTGTGGCGGAAGTAGGTGCTTTCTGGAAGCAGTGGAGGAGAAGCGTGGCTGTCGACCATGATCCAGGCGATTCTGGTTTTCAACAACCACGGGAAGCCGCGGCTGGTCCGCTTCTACCAGCG